TGACACTTCATATTTTATGTTTTTTTGTTGAAATAATGTTTCTTCTTAGTTTTTTCTTATCAGTTGTGTATATTAGGGTTTAATCTTACATCTAATGTTGTTAAATCTAATGCATTATTTCAGTATCATGTGTGTCACCATGATGGTGTTTAGTGTTTGTGTGAATGACACTGTGTGCACCTTCTATATATAAGAACTACCCTCCTCAGCTTGTAGAAAAGCTGTTTGTGATGAGCTTTGGTTCATCATGTAACTTTCTCGTCACCACCAGTTTTTGGTGGTTATCAGTGCATTTCAATGGTTCAAAACAGATATTAACACTTCAATATGTTGGTTTATTAACATTACATCAGTTAATGAAAATCGGTATTTTATTGTGAATTTAAGTTAAATCTGTAAAACCTAAAATGTTGCTACCATATTTTTTACGGTGAAGTTCTGGCAACCACAGCTGCCGGTATTTTACCGTAAATGTCACAGATTTTTTTTGTTACAGTGTACAAATGAATTGAAACTAAATAGAATCTAGATGGCTAAACCCAAAAAAAAAAATGTAATTCAAAATATGAATAAATTCTAAAATATTATATAATAATACTAAAATAACACTGGGACGGAGTTGTATGTAAACAGTACATTTCTGGTGTTTTGTGTGAAAGTGATCAGGTTTACCAATGTTTTGTGGACATGTTTGAAATTTGATTTCTGATATGTTCCTTATTGTGCACAATTCATCTGTGCATGTTTTCCAGATGAAAGCAAAATGTCTTAGTAACCTTTTATCAAAATGTAATAAGTTGCACTGGCTCTGAAACAGCTTTTTATCTCATGAATCCTTCTTCAGTCCCTCTCTTCCAAACACCTGGCTCCGATTGGATAAAATCAAGTCCCGTCCCGCTTTTTTTTTCTGGTTGAAAATCCCATTTCACTTGAAAAAAGTCATATCACAGTGGTGAAATGTGTTGACTTGAAAGTCACAGAATCAGGCCTGAAATGTATGTTTTTTGTTTTTCTATGTTTTGCAGGTATCATCCTCCTGCGTTCCTGTTGCCAACTATGAACTGGTAAGAATGTCTGTGGTTGTTTTGATAATTTGTTTTTGATCGTTTCATAAAACAGCCATCACTCGGAATCTGAACTGTTAATCAGATTGATGATAAGGAGATGTTTGCCTATTTTGGAGGCCAGAACGTATCATCCCACAACCGTTAATATGTACAAGAAGGAAATAAAAGCTTGGGGTCTTCAGTTCAGATCTCTCCCAAGACCTAAATAAGCCAGGGGGAATAACAAAGCATAAGCGATAGCATAGTGAACAAACATTCCTTTTTTGGTTTGAATTGTGTTTTTGGACTCCAAAAGATCTCTTTCCTCCTCCTACTCCTCCTCCTCCTCATGTACGCTTGCCCGTGCAAGGCAAGCCAGAATCCATCATTGCTCTACCCGTGTTACTAAAAAGTATCTTGTTGTACATCGTGTCCTCAAAATGGAACACATATTTTTAGTTGTTTTTCGAGGGAAAGTTTGGCTTTCATCAGTTGGACGTGGTTTGGTTTATTCTCCCTCTCATTCCTTCAATCACTTCCCAGATATAGTATCAAATGGGAGAGCGAGTGTTGTGTGTAATGATTCCAGCCAAAAGAAGCTGAAAAATACACACGCACACTGCCTTCAGCAAGGACATAGTTGCTGAACTCACTGTTTACAATGACGCAGCTCACTGAAGCCAAACACAACCCTGTTTAATGGCTTTTCGGTGAATTCAGGAGTGTTTCTGTGGATGGCCTGAATCTTGTAGACCTGCTTTCTCCTCGCTCCATGTTTGGTAAATTCTCCTCTGCTAAATTGGTTGGCTGGCTGGTGGTTAGACCTGTGATATGACACCCAATAACAAGGATCAAATGCCAGTGTGAATTTACAATTGTGGATGAAAAGGTTCACTGTAGGTGATGATATGATCTTAAAAAACATAAAGGAAATTAAGCCTTCTTTTGCATTGTGACATTGTTTTCATTGCAATTAAACATATCGACTGCCAAAATTATAACAATACAAAATTATAATTGTAATTTTTTATTTTATTTTAAATTAAATGATTATATTTTATTATATTATATGTTTATAATATATATTTGTTGTACTACATTTATAATTAATTACATTTTAAAGATCATTTTATAAATTACTATTACAGTATGTTACTCTATTAAAGTAATGAGAATTTTGCAGAAAATATGCTGAATTGTTATTAAACTAATTTCAGCTGTGTTTATATGAATATGGCTAGATTTAATGATGAAATAATGGGTTACATTTTACCCCAAAATCAAATGAAAGAAAAAAATGTTTCATGTGTCCTTGACAAATAAAATGTTTACTACTAAAATTATAACAATCAATTTAACTAATTAATTTATTATATTTGTATTAATTTTTAAGCGAAAGTATAAAATTATATTTTAATAATTGTATAAAAATTAAATATAATTATTGTAAAAAAAAGTATATTTTTAAACATTTTATTACAGTTACTATTACAGTACATGTTACTGTATTACAGTAATGTGAATTCTGCAGGAAATGTGCTGAATTGTTATTAAAATAATGTGCAAAAATATCTTAATTGTAATTTTTTTTCATTAGGTTTTGGGTGAAATGTGACCACACTAATGTATGTTTTTAACTTTACGTTCCCTATCCAAGGTGATCTGCTACGTTGTACTTTTTTATATGACACAAGTAGACGGCCAGACACATACACTGCGTGGGCATTATCTCAATAATATGCTCTCTACATCACTGCTTATATTTTGAAGACAGGCTTCAGACTTTCTCTCTCTCAGAGCTGTCTACCTTTCTCTAGAGCCATCTGGCCTGCGTCTGTTTCACCACAATGTGATATTGGCCATAATTGGCCATGAGAGGGTGAAGTGCATGCCGGGCCTCGGATGACATTAAGCAGACCAGTGTTACTCTGGTCTTTCCAGGTCTTTCTGTGTTTACACTCTGTGCCCAGGCCCCTTAAGGCTCTCTGCTTCACATCCTCTCTCGTCTTCTCAGCGCATACGATGCATTATGCAATATGTGAAATGTAGGAGTCTGTTTTGAGGGGCTTTGTGACATCCTTCCCCTGTTGTGAGTGTTAATCCAGGGTCATAGGTTTGCTTTGGGGCGTCTCTGTTCACAGGTTCTCACAGCTCGGAATTCTTTAGCTGAATACCATCTTTGGAATTCTTTCCGTAGAATTCTCCTGGGATGGAAGGCAGGCACGGACCCTCCATTAGAGTAATGTAAACACAGAGTGCCACTGAAATGCACAACGTCTCATCTGTTTACATTTTTCCAACTGTATTGTGCTGAAAAGTTGCAGGTGGCCATTAAAGCATGAGAGAAAGGCTGTCGCTGATGTCAGGTTAGGTGCGTGTTAGCCGCCGCATCCCCTGAGTCAGATACGCTGGAGACCTGGCCAACTTTCCACCCTAGTTGTCGATGTTCATATGAAGAGCTTTTTTTATTTATCAAAGGTTGTTGTTGTTTCAGCCATGCCTGGACATTAACCAAACACTCATCATACTGACATCATACTGTAATTGGCTCTGAGGTGCTGGAGACAGGAATGAAACAACATGTCCTTTTTAGGTGCTCCGTGTGCCGCGCTTCGACAGATATCTTCAGATATACAAGCCGAACAGCTGCCTTTCCACAGTGTATGAACCAAAACAAAGAGTTATGAGATAATCCCAAATGATGAGGGGTTGCAAGTGAATCAGAGTGTTTTTTTAATGACCTATGCAAGCCCTCAAGCCCCTAAATAATGAGCAGTCAACCATATATATATATATATAAGTCTGGTGAACTCCATGCCCAAGAGGGTTAAGGCAGTGCTGGAAAATAATGGTGGGCGCACAAAATATTGACACTTTGGGCCCAATTTGGACATTTTCACTTAGGGGTGTACTCACTTTTGTGGCCAGCGGTTTAGACATTAATGGCTGTTATATATATATATATTTAAATTTTAAAACAATTAAAGTATATAACATTTTATATATTAAAAATATATTTATATGCTATAAAATAATTCTTATTTTTTTTTTATATATTATTTTATTCATTTTATTAAATATTATTTATAATTACATAAAATTATAATACAAAATCATTATAAATTATAATAGAATTTAATACTAATCATAATAATAGTAATAATAAAATACAAGCTTTTCTTTATAATGTTAGCCAAATTTTTGTGCACCACAAGCATTCATCATTTTCATTGATCATGTTTAATCCTCTCTCTGATCCTTAGTACTAAACTATCGTTTTTTTGTGCTCTGCCTTTAAGACTTTGTCTTTTTTGCATGTCCCTCCTTCGGGAACAGCCTTTTTGTAAAGCTGCAGCACATTGCAACAGATTCATATAACAGTCGGAACTAAAATTATTACATTTGAGTTCTTTTAAAGTTGAAACCGCAGAGTAGTAGGTGCTACACACAGCCAGACACAGCACAGGTTTGACACCCAAGAATTAAAATTTCATCATTATTTACTCACCCTCATGTCATTCTGAACATCATCTTTTGTGCTCCCGCAAAAAGAATGTCAGTCATATAGGTTTAGAATGACATGTGGCTTAGTGAATAATGACAATGAGATTTCATTTTTGGGTGAACTATCCCTTTAAGTTTCTGAATACTCAGTAGGCGACTTTGACGTGATAGTGTAGTCATGTTCAAATACATTCATCTGCCTGCTTTTAGAAACTTCCATATGTAATGAGCTGGTTTTGAACCTTAAAGTTACAGTACGCATACTGTGCTGTTGATAGGAACATGCAGTTCTTGAAGCCACCAATAGGGGGCAGCAGACCATATGGAGTACAGTACATTCACCTCGGCCTTCAAACGCCTCTTTGTGGTTTCCTTTTGTTTCCATAGCCCTGCGCTGTGTTTGAGGACAGATCTGATCTACATCGTCGCTGTTCTGTAAGCAGTTGAACTAAGATCAGTGACTAAATGTCTAAGCACTCTGAACATAGAACAGGCAATTTTTCCCGTCATTAGTCGGACAAGCACATGGTACATCTGACAAAATGCCTTTTTTAACTGTGTGGTTTTAGGAATTTTCATTGGGATATAAATCTGTGGACCACAGAAATGCACTTTTAAAAATGCCTTTTATACCTGTTGCATACGAATTATGGTCAAAGTAGTGATTTAGGACAAATAGCGGCTGATCATCTGAATTCCAGGAGGAAAATAAAGGCACAAACTGAGCTGCTCACAGTGAAATGTAAAACTATAACTTAACCCGCATGGAGCCAACATGAAACAGAAGGACACAGGGAGCCTTGTTCTAAATGAAGAGTAACTGCAGCAAAACAAAGGCCGAGTATTTCAGGATCTCAGAGGAGATGCTGGAATACCACATAGGGAGGGAAGGAACCAGACTCACTGAATCAACGTAGACACCCTCAACTCCACTGGACTCCTACCAAACTGATGTGATTCCCCATCTCTGTCTGCCCTACATCTGTAGATTTGATTACTGTGGATACTGTACTTCACAAACACTTTTGCTGCTTTCCCTTCAAAGTCAGAAGTGGGATATCCCTGGCTTCTGACCGTAAGGGTGACGTATAACCTTGCTACTTTGGAAAATCTGGTTTGGTTTTTAGTTGGACAGTAACTGGTAAACCATCTTAAATCAGCAACAAATCAGCTACCAGCTGGTCATACCAGGTTATTTTGGTCAAAATGCTGGTCAAAGTTAGTCAAAAAGGTTTTTGGAACATGTTAGGTAGTCACCTATCTAGCAACCATTTTAGGATTAGTATTTTAAGGCTGCCAAAGTTAATGCACTAAGTAGTGCATTGTGTCAAACAGTTTGATGCAGGCAAGTTGCAAAGTTTTATAATATACCATGTATCTAAAACTAAAATTATTTTGTGGCCATTTTTATTTTTGACATGGCCAATTTAATTTAATTTAATTTAAGTTAAGTTAAGTTAAGTTAAGTTAAGCTTGGTTCCATCATAAAAAAGGTAATTGCGACTTTTTATATC